CAGTTATAGGCAGAATAAGGACTTACAAGCTTTCTATGGTGATATTTCTGGCTATTCCTTTCTCTCCCCCTCAAGTGTCTATTTTATAATGGTATGCCAGGGAAACCAAGATTCAAAAGACAGCCAAGCATCTTAATGTTATTTCCCCCCTTTTGCCCATTCCAACCATGTCTATCCCAGAGCCCTGTTGTTCCAAGGTTATGCATACATCATTATTTACCTCTGTCCCACTTAGCCCATGCAAACTTGCTTAATTGTTTCCCTATCCACTTTGTTCTTCCATTTCCTTCCCCCATCTTGTGTATTGCTCCCTTCCCTAGCATCCAAACTAACCTGTGTCTAGTCCCTGCCCTGTGCTCTACCTTCCCCTCTCTCCCCTCACCCCATTCCTACATCACAGTAACCAGTAAAGAATCCCCCCCCCCCACTTTAGTATGGGTCCTTTTTCTTAGTCTTTTACAGTAGTGGTGCTATGTAGTATTTCTCCTTTTGTGATTTATGAATTTCACTCAACATAATGTCCTCAAGGTTCATCCATGTTATGTGGTGGCTTGCAACTTCCTTGTTAGAGAATGCAATTTTGAGAAGAAGAAATTTTTTAATTTAATTTAAATAAAATTTTATTGCATTGCAATAGATTGGAATCAAGGCAAAGTATTGATTGTGTTCTAGCAGGATTCTGTGAATTTTCACATGTCCAATACCTTTGCACTACTTACTCCCCAATTTTTCTCCTTCTAGAACACACCAGTGAACACGTGAACATACGTGATACTTTCTCATTTTTCTTCAGAGAAAAGGGACAGGATAATAGAGCAGTAAATGCTTTTTTATTTTTGCTGTTGCTGATGGCACCTATGTATATACTGATAAATCCCTTGGTTCAAATATTTTGAGGTTCTGTGTAACAGATTCTATATACTACTCAGCCTTACTCTCCTTATCTTTGTCTTTAAACTCAATGACCAAAACCCACAGCCATTGAGTTGATTCCAACTCACAGTGACACTATAGGACAGAGTTGTTGTTGTTGTTGTGTGCCATCGAGTCAGTTCTGGCCCTCAGTGACCCTGTACAGTAGAATTGTTCTATAGAACTTCCAAAACAATCTTTATGGAAGCAAACACCTCATCTTTCTCCCACTGTTTGATTAACTGGTGGGTTTGAAACACTGACCTTTCAGTTAACAGTCTTAACCCACTGTGTCACCAAGGCTCCTTTTAGACTTAGTTGTTGTTGTTAAATGCTATTGAGTCAGTTCTGACTCATAATGACCCTGTGTATAGGGTTTTCCAGGGGCAATTAGTGTGTTTGAACTGCAGACCAGTGCTGATCCTATAGTGCCACACCAGGGGTCCTTAAACTCAGTGATAGCCATCTAATTCCCACCACTAGGTTGAAATGGAAGCACTGTGACTCCATACTATAATCACTGGATTGTGAAATACAACCTCTGCCATTTCAGCCTGCCAGCTACTCTGTGGGAGAAACATGAGGCTTTCTGCTCCCACAAAGATTTTAAAAGCCTTTGAAACTCAATACAGAGTAGGTCACTAAAACTTAGAACTGACTGGAAGGCACTTAACCACAATAACAAAGGTTGAACTGGCACCATGATCTAAGACTAACATTAACATGAAAATAGGCAGGATATAAACCATCTGTTACTGGTTCAAAGCCCAATCAACTTCTATTGCTACAGTTCCAGTCAGGAGGAAGCACTTAGTAATTCCATGTACCTGAGCACTTGATTTTGATGCTTTATAAAGGAAAAACATTCTTATAAATGGGAGCTCTGTTCATAAAACTGCAATACTACAAAGGCATTTTAAATTGTCCTTAGCTCTAACTCCCCATGCTCACTTCCTAGGATCTCACCTTCTTACCCAGAGAGTGGGTCTGTCTGCCTGAAGAGGGTCTGCTACCCTAATCGATGGTCACTGGACTCTCAGGTCTATCTGGATTCTGGACTTTAATCACCATACCAGTTAAGATATTAAAAAATGATTTAAAACAGTATCTTTCTGAGTTGTCTGTAAAACTCATATGCTCTTTTGGCTATCTTCCTGGACAATTAAACAAATTGGTGTTGAGTAAACTTCAATACACGTCAACCCTATGTGTGTCAGAGTAGAACTGTGTTCCATAGGGCTTTCACCAGACCTGTTTTTCTAAAGTGTCTCTGGGTAGATTCAAATCTCTAAGTTTTTGGTTAGCAACTGAAAATGTTAACTGTTGGTATCACCCAGGGACACCCATGGTCCAACATTTGTGCCTTATGGTCAGATGTTCCCATTCTTTATAATAGGAAGAAATGTTGCTAGGATTATATGGATTAATCTCCATTTTAAGAAGAACTGGTTGAAAGATTGGCAGTTTTAGCACATGCAGAAGCACCTCAAAAGATCTGTTTTTTAGGACAGACTTGAAAATTCTATGGAGCAGTCCTACTCTGCATACATGGGGTCACTCCAAGTCTGAATTGCCGCATTGGCAATTACCTCAATGGCAACATCATTGAGAAAAATACGGCAAAATAACAACCAGAGTATAATATATTATGATGATTTTTAATGTTAAAAACAATAATTTTATTTATGGAATGTATCATAGTAGTCCTGTAACACTGTATAGGTTGAGGAGACGTAATCTCTGATTATGAAAGAAGGGTTATTGTGAAGCTTAAAGATAAGGCTTACGAAGAACTTAGCACAGTGTCTGAACACACAATTCACACCATTTCTAAGTTGTAGTGGTTATTTACATTTACTCACATTTTCCCTTTTCTTATGTTGCTGTTGTTGTTGTTAGGTGCCATTGAGTCAGTACCAAGCCACAGTGACCTTATGCACAGTAGAATGAAACAATGCCCGATCCTGGGCCAACCTCATTACTGTTGCCACACTTGAGTCCATCTATGCTGCCACTTGTCCAATCCATCTCATTGGGGGTCTT